CACGCGACTCGGGCACTGACCCTCGGCGAAGGTCAGCTCTCAGTTCTATTATTCTGGGTTTTCTTACCTCAATAATATGAACTCAATTGTACGGGGTTAATCAAGGTTTTCCATAGTTGTTGACTATAGTCAGGTACCTACGACCGACTGTGCCGAGTGACCGCAGAGTCGGGCTCGCCAAGGGACATAAGTAGTAACAGTGTAGACAGCTGTTCACTACATTTGGGGGCTGCTCCGGGAAATAAAAACAATCTGGGCAGCATTTCGAGCGTGCTAACAAGGGAAGACCCTCCCTTCCTTTAAGCCCGAAAGGACCAACACACTCAAGTGGGAACAGAGGGGGACATGCATCTACGCAACGGGAAAGTTGTACTGCCTCCGCTTGAACCGATCGCAGAAATGCAGAATTTAGAAGAGTCAAACGACGATTCCGTGGATTACCCAATGGAAACGCCACGAACAGAACCCGATCGCAGCGTCAACCCGCCCACCGCGGGGGTGTCTCGATCGGCACCGAGAGCCTGGGACCGCGACGTTCGAGGGCGCAAGGGACCCGTAGAGGATCACGATTGGGCGGATCCGGTTCTGCCCGAGTTCTTTCGGGAACTGGCCTCCCAGATGGCACGGGGGTAGTACAGGCGTGCCAGAGGAACATCGGATACGAGGACGGCAAGAACATGAGGGAGTTCCTCGACCTAGCGGAGTTAGATTTCATAGAAAGAGGGCTAGAGGAACGGCTGTGGGGAGAAGAACTTAAAAGATATCTGAGGGGAGACGCCTTGAGATACTGGTTGTATCTGCGTCGCACTGGAGAATCTCTAACTGATTGGGAGCAACTGAGACAGCGATTCTGCGAGCATTTTTGTAGTATAACTCTGGAACGGATGAAAGCCATGCTAGCTAAGAATGTCTGGAGGGGCGACCACCACGCATACTCGGCACGCTTCGCGGACATCGTGACTCAAGGGGTGTCGGTGGCTCCAGACATGTTGGTGGGATACTACCTGGCCAACCTGCCAAGTGAAATACTCCGAGAGGTGACCCAAGGGGGAACAAGGAAATTCGCAGACTGGCAGGCAGCCGCCGCAGCACTGGC